CAGAGCGGTGGCGTAGTCAAGGCGGCGGGTAGAGGCGAAGTCAGCGACAGCAGCGACAAGAGCGTCAAGGCACGAGACCGGAACAGACGGGTCGGTAACGAGAGAGGCAAGGACCCGAGGAACAAGAGGACGAGCGGCACGAAGGTAGTCAGACAGCGGGGGGGGCAACAACAAGGGAGGACGGAGGAGGCGACGGCAGAAGGGGAGGACGAGACGCGTGGGAACGAAGCAACATAGGGTGGGAGCGCAAGACAGGCGAGGCAGGACGAGCACGGGAGGGACGGTGAGACCAGACGTGCGACGGAGGAGTCGGGTCAGGAGACAGGGAGGGGACACAGGAGGGGAACGAGGGGGAGACGGGCCGGGGACGAGTCCGGCGGAGGGAAAACAGGGCCGTAGACAGGAAGAGGAGGAGACGGTCGGAGGAAGACGCAGGGTCGGGGGACGGAAGGCCGAGCAGGCGAAGGGCGGACACCGGCGGGGACTGCTGCGGCGGCACAACGGCGACACCTGGACCGCAAGCTGCTCCTCGGCTACCACCGGCACTCCACACCAGCACCCCCAGAGGGACCACCCCCAGGGCGACCGGGACGAGCACCCCCAGAGTCAGCGAACGGGTGCTGCGCGCGGCGGCGGCGGCGGCGGCGGCAGCGACACGACGGCTGCAGGCGGCAGAGGCGTGGAGGAGGGGACTGGGGAGGGGACGCCGGGGAGGGGCGGCCGGCGAGGACTGCGCAGGAGGGCCACCAGAGTCAGAAGACTCCTCAACCGGGTCCACCGACGGAAGGGGGGTGACGTGGGACACACCAGAGGGGGCAGGACGGGGAGGAGGAGGAGGAGGGGCAGGGACTACCGGGGAAGGAGTGACCAGGAACAGGGGGGGGTAACCGGGGGACCGCGGTGGGGGAAGCGACGGTAGTAGGAGACGGACTCGTCAAAGGTGACGTCGCGAGAGTGAAAGAAGCGGTGAGACGGCGGGTGGTAAAAGTGCCAGTCGGACGCGTCAAGGGGAAAACCGAGGAAGACGCAGGGAAGGGTGCGGGCAGTGAGCTTGTCCGTGCCGGAGGCACGGACGTGAGCAAGGCAGCCCCAGACGTGGAACGCAGACGCGTCACCAGGAGACCCAGTCCAAAGACGGGTCGGCGAAACCTGCGGCTGCTGGGGGTGCGGCCCATAGGTTAAGCTGATGAGAAGCGTAGCGCACAGCGAACGCCACAGAAAATGGGGTACACCGGCATGGATCATGGAGGGTGTGAGCCACCTCCATGACCAAACCGATGCGTCGCTCAGCGACCCATTTTGCTTGTGGGGAGTCCGGTAGGGTGAACGTCTGGGTGATGCCCTCCGCACGACAAAAGCGACCAAGGGACACCTGAGGCAAACTCGCCACCACGGTCTGAGTGAACACGCAAGACAGGGGAGACCGCGGTGGACACGCGCAGAGACAAGCCAAGGGATGAGAGCGCCAGGCACGTCGGCCTTGTGCTCCAGGGGAAAGACTGTGGTGTAACGAGTGAAGTCGTCGACAAGCACAAGGAAGTAGCGCTCTCGACGCAGCCCAGGGACGGGGGCGGGGCCCCAGACGTCCAGGTGCAGGGTTTGCAGCGGCGCGGCGGTAGGGGGAAACGAGGAGGAGTGAGGGGCATGGCGAAGCCGACCCTCGATACAAGGCGTGCAAGGTGGGGCTGGGGAGGAGGGAAACGCGGGGAGAGAACCTGGGAGACCAAGGACAAGACCGTGCTGGGACATGTGACGCAGACGCGGGAGCGCAGGGTGACCTAGGGCGGTGGTGCCAAAGGAGAGTCGGGTGAGTGAGGGGACCGACAGGAGCAGGCAGCAGCAACCTGGGTGAGCGCTCCGGCCGGGGGGGTCACGGTGTCCAGAGTGAACAGGCCGGACACCGGGTCCCGGGGGAACGTGGACAGGGGGGCACCAGGGGCGGCCTCGGTACAGACAGCATACCGCTCGTGACCAGGGAACGTAGTGGTGACGCCAAGGTCCTTGAGGCAGCCGACACCAAACTAGGTTCCTGGAGAACGAGGGGATATGCAGACCTGTGAGAGTGCCCGAAGGAACCGCGGACAGGGAAGGGTGGTGGAACTGCGGGCGACTACCGGACCGCCGGAGGGGTCAGCAAGAGAAACGACCAGCAGGAACAGGGAGCGACGTCAGGGTGGTGAAGTCGCGGAAGAAACACCGGGAAGCGCCAGAGTCCAAGGTGAAGGAAAGCGAAGCAGAGGGGTATGGCAACGGAACGACGGCGAAGCACCAAGACTACACAAAGCAGGGAATCCTACGCCTGACGCAGCAGGGGAGGCTAAGCTAGGCAAACCTACACTAGCCGACAGTGAGTAATAAGCGGGAAGCACACTAGAGTCATCAGCATACATCACATGCAAAGCAGAAACAATGGCATCCATGTCTATGTCAAAAATCTGAATACTACGCCTAAGCAAACTGTGCCAGTCCGGGAGGTCGGGTGACGGACCGAAACGCTGACGAAACAGGTCGTCCAGGCGACGAAAACAGCGGGGAGTGGAGTGACCGATCTTACCGCAAACGAAGCCGCGGCGAGGACCGGTCTGGATCTGGTACTGACAACGCCCGCCTCCAGAGCCACCACTCGGCACACCACCACGCGCGCCGGGCCACCGCCAGCGCCGGGCCACCCGGGCAGGAGGACACTTGTCTGCCGTGTCTGCGATGGCTGCTGCGAAGGCTGCGACTGCGGCGGCTGCTGCGGCTGCTGCAACTGCAGGGGCGGCGGCTCAGCTGGACTGGGCAGGGTCCCCTCGTCCCGCTCCAGCACCAGACGACCCGACCCCACCACCACCCCCTCCCGCACCCCCGCCTCCGCCGCCGCGCCCAACCTTGGGGCGGCGGCCCTTCCCGAACGAAACTGCGCTGCAGCAGCAGTCTCAGCCACAGCGGCAGAGCCGTCGGAGAAGGTACACAGAGCGGGGGCACAACCCTGAAAGATAGGGACCGGGCACGGCACCGCTCGTCTGGGCGATGGAGCGGTGACGGGTCTCAATCACAGTCAGGGTGTCTAGAAAGTCAGTGAGGGTGAGGTCTGCGGGGTGAATGCTAAGGAAGCGGTCGCGGGCGACAGCAAGGCGGTCAGGGAGGCGGGTGGCAAGCAGGTAAAGGGTAGAGGTAATGGGCGGCTGGTGGGCTCTAAGCTGTGCGTCAGTGCAGGCAGCGCGGCCAGGTCTCATCTATCGAGCGCAGGTGGGCAGCGAGGTCAGAGACAGTGGGGAAAGATGCAAGGTCAGGAAAGAGCATCGGGAGGATCAGGCGACCCACCGAGGCAGCCGGAGGGGTGGAATAGCGCTTGATGACAACATCTAAGTATGCCTGAGCAGTAGTGAGGGACCTAAAGCGAGGGCGCTCGGACGGGGGAAGGGCGTTGCTAATGGCAAGCTGGGCGACAGCATCGCGAGAGAGCCAGACAGAGCGCGCACGGGCAGTGGCAGCAGTAGACTCGCGCTCAGTGGGTGTGGAGTCAGCGGGCGGAATAGCAGGGGGGTCTGGGCAGGGGAGCGTACCGTCAAGGTGTGCGGAAAGCGGTTCACCATCCTGCCGCTGGCCAGTGAGTTGGCGCCGGAGGTCGGCAAGCCACGCCTCGAACTCCAGAGGCTGGCCTTCAGCGTCGAAGCGAAGCTCCGCCGCCATCAGGGGCAGTGCAGGACGGGACAGTGCGGTGCAAGGCAGTGCAGTGCGGAGCAGGGCGGTGCAGGGGAGGGGGGGGGGGAACCGTACCAGTGAGGATGAAGGGGCCGGGGCAAGGATGAGCGCAGGGGCCGGGCCGGTCCAGCGGGGCCCGGCAGACGCGGCGGGCCGGGCAGGGCGCAACGGGGCCGGGCGGGTGCGACGGGGCTTGTAGGCGTGACGGTGGCCCAGGAGGGGCACCACGGGGCCAAGGAGGGGCGCAACGGGGCCGGGCGGGCGCGACGGGGCCGGACGGGTGCGACGGGGCCGGGCGGCTGCGACGGGGCCGGGCAGGGTGCGACGGGGCCGGGCGGGTGCGACGGGGCCGGGCAGGTGCGACGGGGCCGGGCAGGTGCGACGGGGCCGGGCAGGGGGTGATGGGGCCGGGCAGGGCGCGACGGGGCCTGAAGGCTTGATGGGGCCCAGGAGGGGCGCTACGGGGCCCAGGAGGGGCGTTACGGGGCCCAGGAGGGGCGTTACTGGGCCCAGGAGGGGCACTACAAGGCCCAGGAGGGGCGCTACGGGGCCCAGGAGGGGCGCGACGGGGCCCAGGAGGGGCACTACGGGGCCCAGGAGGGGCCCAGGAGGGGCGCGACGGGGCCCAGGAGGGGCGCTACGGGGCCCAGGAGGGGCACTACGGGGCGAGGGGCGCAGCAAGGCCCGGGAGGGTCGCAACGGGGCGAGGAGGTCGCGACGGGGCTAGGGGGTCGCGACGGGCTAGGGGGTCGCGACGGGGCGAGGAGGTCGCGACGGGGCTAGGGGGTCGCGACTGGGGCTAGGGGGTCGCGACGGGGCGAGGAGGGGCGCGGCAGGGCTAGGGGCACGACGGGGCCCAGTGGGTCGCGACGGGGCTAGGGGGAAGGCACGGCGTGGCCTAGCTAGGGGACGAGCGGAAGCGGTAGGTGGGGGGATCCTAACCTACGCGTGATACCGTATCAAACTGAGAGAAGTGAATAATTGGGTAGACGGAGAGTACAGATAGATATAGCTAAGTATTGTACCCTCTAAGAGGTGACCCTATACAGTCTATGCAAACATAACAAATACACATGTTTGACACAAAGAACACGAAAGAACTCGAAGGGTCGCAATCGGAGGTTGCGACTGACCATTACAACTGCAAGGATGGTAACCGAAGCGACACTCGAGTCGCTGTGCGATAACTGCTCCTTCAACTGTATTCTACAACTGCTTGCTGTCTTACTTTCTATATATTGCTGTATACATGTTCTTTTAATCAATCACTTGTTCTCACATACTAGTACAAGGGTTCAACTACTCAACTTCCGCTGCACTACTCAAGTCTCCTTTTACAACTGGACTTAGTCTCTGGAAAGATCCTAAGAGCTATTTCTCAGCCCAACAGTGGCCAAGGTAGTCTTTCTGTAAGTTGCACCATTCTATTGCGGGAATACCATCTCTGTGGGCTGGTCTCCATGCCTCTACTTTTCATACAAGCGTGCCTGGAAAGGGGACAGACCACAGCATGGGAAAAACATTACGGCTCGGCATGCCATGCAGAATTCCTGTTGCATTATTCATCATCCCATGTCCCTCCTCTTTCTTTACACGCGCGAGCCTCGAGGCAGAAGCACAACGAACATGCCAGGAGGCAGCAGCACGCTAACAGCAGCAACAGCAGAAACAACAGCAACAGCACTACGGTATTCCAGCATTGCTTCACCTATCCCCCCTGACTTCACAACTGATCCTTGAGGCTGAGCAAGCAACAGCATTGCTCCTTTTTACACGCGAGTGCCTCGGGGGAGCAGCACGCGGTCCACACCATGGGCAATGAAGTACGGCCCGACGTACATGCCAGGGATCAACACCCTGCTCGTTACAACCCCCCTCGCTCTGGTGCTAGGGTACGTCCCAAACATGACCACACTGCCGTTCTTCGGAGTCAGCTTATAAAGAGCCTGCCGCAGCTGAGTTGGCAGCGGCTGACCGGCCCGCATGGCCTTGAGCTTGGGCAGAGTGAATCTTTTCGCGATGATGTGGTACGCTGAGACGTTGTAGGCCTTGGGGATGTTTTTGGAGGTGAGAGGAAGCTTCTTGGAAAGCGCCTCTGCAGCCGTGTTGCTGGGAATGAGGAGGGTTGCGTCAGCAAGGGCTGAGAAGTTGTACTTGGAGTTCACTGGAGGGGGGGAGAGGGATTGGGGTTGGGAAGGGCAGAAATGTGAAGAGGGTGAATGAACTCTACTGGAAGGATGGTACAGGCTGGGGATGGGGAGCGTTGCATCAGCAAGGGCTGAGAAGTTGTACTTGGAGTTCACTGGAGGAGGGGGGGGAGGGATGGGGATCGGAAAGGACGAGTGTAAGGGGATTCGTACTTTCACTTGGGAGGACGGTACAGGATTGGGATGGATGGATTAGGAACCCAAGCTAGATGAAGAAAGGTGAGTTACTGTTACAGTTTACAGGGCATGCGGGTGCTTGAAGCGGGTGCTTGAAGCGGGTGCTTGAAGCGGGTGCTTGAAGCGGGTGGACGAAGGGTAAGAACGGCAGGGAGAGGAAGGGAGGATGATTGCGGATTAGGGTTGTGGTTGAAGCATCATGTGGTGGCCTAGCTGTTGGAAACTGGGGTGGTTTTGAGGTGCCCTTGACGAAACTGGTAACCCGATCATGATGTAACAAGTCACTCACACGCCAGGCTGACGCATTTGTTGAAGTCCTTGAAGAGTTTGGGGTACTGCGGGTATCTCTGCACCAGATGAGCTGCCACCTCGGTAACCCTATGGTTACACACTCACGCATGCACCATACATCACTCACGTGCGAGGCTGACGTATTTGTTGAAGTCCTTGGAGAACTTGGAGTACTGCGGGTATCGCTGCACCAGGCGCTTCGCCATCCTTGTCACCTCCGCCTTGATCTGCGCCTTGGTCGGCGGAGGGCGCCGAGCAGCAGCAGCAGAAGAAGTGAGGAGGAGGAGGGAGAGGAGGACAGCGAGGAGACAGGGGGCGCGGAGAAGGGCAACTCGCGAAGAGGCAGCCATGGGAGAGTAGCCTGATGCGCTGATGCGCTGATGCGCTGATGCGCTGATGCGCTGATGCGCTGATGCGCTGATGCTTACTCCTGATTGACTTGATTGTATATGAAAAATGAAGCGGAAGGTTCTAGTCAGCAGAGAACTGAATAGGACGGTTGGTGCAGGTAAAGGGAAGGGAATCAGTTTATTCAGTAACTAGCTGTGCAAAATTAACTCTAATGAAAGAAGGTGGTTGTTTCAGTAGACCAATCTTCTCGGATTTATACCTCAGACGCTATCGAACCCGCAATTGTAGATCCCCTTCCTCGAGGCTTCCGAAAATCCAAGCAACGAGGAGAACCGACGCGACCGCGAAGGACGGTTCGGTTTGACAGCGCAGGTTTGGCTCACAGAGGAGCGGGGATATGTGAAACACGTTCTGCGAGACACGTCACTACTACGGTAGTACTGTGCGGCGTAGCAACGGCCACGTGGAGATCTAAGCCACGCGGCAGCGCGGCCGCTCCCAATGGGAACGCCACGCGGGATCTTCTGACCGCCGCCACGGTTAAGTACAGTATGTGCCTTTGTCGCCGTAAATCCACAGTGCTACGATACAGTGTGCGGTGCACGTAAGTCCGGGTGCTAAAGCGGACGGTAGATTGGCGATTCACTCTTTGTCGGCTAGCGCACCGCAATCGTTGATGACTCATCAGGATCCGGAATCGGGAGTGATGACTCATCAATGGTGCTGTCAGGATGGCACAGTCTGGTCAGCGATGAGTTCATTTTTTAGGCGCCTCAAGAAATCACTCCTCAGGCACAGTCTATTCGGCGATGAGTTCGGCTACTGCCAGCCGCTCTGCTGATTGGCGGTGCTGTTCGCGTCAGCAATCCACAAGGTGTCGGTACGATTAGCTGTACTGTACTGGGTACTGTACAGTAGAACGGAAAGGAACGGCCTACCCACTGGTTCTGCTGACGGTTGCCGTCATTTCCGTCGCCGTCAAGTCCGTCACCGTCAGGTCCGTCGCCGTCCATTGAGCTACAGGTGCAATCCCGAGCTGACGAGGGACCTAGATTCCTACACGCGTTTCGCGAACTTGTCCTCGGTCGGCCGCGGAAAGGGGAGTCTGTATCCCACTGTAAATGGCTATAAGACCGTGACATAGGGATTGACCGGATGGAATGAGGACAAGAGCGTAAGACAAGGGGGGAGCTCGGTGGGTGGGACAGGACTAGGCAAAGGCAAGGCAAGGCAACATCCATGGCGATATGTGGTGGCTGGGGGAGGAAGAGGAAGGGAGTGTCCAGAGGGATGAGGGAGGGCTGGACTGTTTCTCCGACCAAGAAATACGCGATACACGAAAGATTCGGGTGTCTACAATATCGCAGGGCAAACTTATCCTCCTGTAAAAGGTAGTTACATCGAAGTGAACTTACATCAGGTTGGGCAGGCCATCACAATAAAATTTTCCAAAAACAAATCATTTTTGGGCTCAGAGAGAATAATGTTTTTATACAGTTTGTTTAACAAGTAGTGATAACGAGAACAGTTATTATTACATAACTTACAACGTTTGAAGACATCTATCACCCTTAACTATTACATATCTCCCATGCTATGACTATTTTTGATTAAAACACTAATATTGTTAGGATGGTTTCTCTATCTCGTCAACATGGAACTAAAATCGTAGTCTCATTGTTCACAAGAAAAGCTCTTTCAACGGTGGAGAGCAGAGAGATCGAGTATTTCGAGGATGCATCAATTTTTGTTTCAAGGAGAGGGGCGTGGTCAGAACAGGCAATCCCAAGGTCTAGAGCTTGTTGACTGCTGCTTGTTGTTGGCAAGCATCCATTGCTTGTCATTGAGAACTCTATCACCAGGCGTTCTTCGATCCCCCATGGCCGGCGGGACGGGCTCCTCCGTCAGACGGCGTACGGCAGCGTCCCGCTACTCGTGAACGACGCCGAATTCTATTGCTGCGTAGCAAATTGACTCTTAAAAACCTGCCTCCCCTGATGGCCGGCGGGACGGGCTCCTCGGTCAGGCGGCGTACGGCAGCGTCCCGCTACCCGTGGTCCACGCGGCAGTGCCTCTTATGCGTGCTGGCCGTGGCCGCTCTTAACGTGCTGCTCTTCCACCTCCACGGTTCGTAGTTTTGAGACATCTCAAAACTCTCCCCAACGGTTCGTAGTTAAAAATGCTGCGTTTCGTTAGTGCTGCTACTTACTCAGCCTCCACGGTTCGTTCGTAGTTAGGATTCCTCTCGTGAGTGCTGAATGACGCTAACTTGCGAGCTATTTTAACTACCAGAATTTCCTGTCTCCGAATTTGGATCCATGACCCGTCATTGAATGGTCCGAATTTTGATTCGTGACCCGTCACTGAGCGGATGGAATTTGGGTTCACAACCTGTAAGTTAGATGTCAAGGGGTCCGCAGTTCGAATCACAGAGGTGACATCACTTCGTCCTTGTTTTCTCTCCTCCCCCTCCATTCTCGTGCCACCTTCCAGGAGATAGTATCGAGGCTGCTTCTAGAGGGTTCCGTGCCTTTTTACTAGAGAGCAGTGGGCGAAAGGATGCAGGGGGGGAAGATGCAGAGGGGGAGTCAGCCTGGCGTGCAGGGGAGGGGGAAACGGGGAGGGGGGAACGGGGGGTGGGGAAGCGGAGCCAACAACGGACATTAACATGAAGCGAGTTTATGACAGTATCAAGTTTGATAACGTGGCGGGGGGCAAGTGGACCCAGGTGAGGGTTGGGACTGGTGGGGGTTGTTTTGGATCTGGTGAGCATGGGGGCTGAAGGACAGGATGAGATGAGAACATGATAACGAGAAGGGGGGCAAGCGCACCCAGGTGAGGGTTGGGACTGGTGGGGGTTGTTTTGGATCTGGTGAGCATTGGGGCTGAAGGACAGGACGAGAGCATGATCTTATGATCTTACGAGGGCAAGTGGACCCAGGTGAGGGTTGGGACTGGTGGGGGTTGTTCGGGACTGGTGAGGGTTGGAACTGGTGGGGGTTGGAACTGGTGAGTGTTGTGACTGGTGAGGGTTAGAAGGGGGTAGGTCACACGGTGCTCTTATCAGTTCTGAGCTTGCTGGGGGAGTATATTGGCCTACTGTCACTTTTTTGCCAGCTCGCTGTGCTAGCTGATGGCCGAGGCTCTGCACATTCTGCAATGTCTGCCTGCCTCCTTTCGTACTCTGTCTGTACTGCTCTCCTCCTTCCAGGGGTGGAAGCTCGGGTACAAGGGGCACGAGTGGGACGAGGAGCCGTTGCGGGTGTTTGTGGTGCCGCACTCTCATCTCTCCCCCCCCCTTCCCATCCTTCCTACTCGTGTTTTTGTTTCTCTTTCCCAACTCCCAGGGGAATCTTGCATGCTATCCCCCGACCCGACTTCCCGATCCATCCTTCCCCTCTGCTTTTCCCATCTCCCAGGGGTGGAAGCTTGGGTACAAGGGGCACGAGTGGGACGAGGAGCCCTTGAGGGTGTTTGTGGTGCCGCACTCGCACAACGACCCCGGGTGGCTGCTCACAGTGGAGCAGTACTACAACGCGTCGTCCCAACACATCCTGCACACCATCCTGCGCTCCCTCTCGCAGGTCATTGATTCTCCCTGGCCACTCCCCCTTCCAGCTCCCACCACATCCTCCACACCATCTTGCGCTCCCTCTCCCAGGTCTATACTCTCTCTCCCAGGTCACTCCTCTCTCTTCAGGTCACTCCTCTCTCTCTCAGGTCACTCTCTCTCTCTCTCAGGTCACTCTCTCTCTCAGGTCACTCTCTCTCTCAGGTCACTCCTCTCTCTCTCAGGTCACTCCTCTCTCTCTCAGGTCACTCCTCTCCCCCCCAGGTCATTGCTATGTCTCTTACACTCTGCTAGCAGCACTCGCACAGCGACCGTGGGTGGCTGCTGACAGTGGCACAATACTACAATTCGAGCTCGTAGCACAGAACAGACTGCACACCATCCTACGCTCTCTCTCGCAGGTCACTCCCTCCTCTCCCCTCCCACTCACACTCATTCCTTCCACACTCGTTCGCCTCCCATCCATTCCTCTCACCCGTATTCGATTTTTGAGGCGCCTCAAAAATAGACTCCTCACGCATTCATTCCTCCCACACTCGTTCCTCTCCCATCCATTCCTCTCACCCGCATTCTCACTCACGCCCTTAACTGAGGTGGTTTCATTCACTCTTCTCCAGGTGTTGTGTGACATTGTAACGAGGTGACCTTTGAGTCGCCTCAAAAGTCACCTCGGTGGTTTCATTCACCCCTCTCCAGGGGTTGTGTGACATTGTAACGAGGTGACCTTTGAGGCGACTCAAAAGTCACCTCGGTGGTTTCATTCACTCTTCTCCAGTCCCCCTCACGCAGGTTCATCTGGGAGGAGATGTCGCACCTGAGCCGCTGGTGGATGGACGCCACAGAGGAGGCGCGGAAGGGGTGCTTCACTGGTAACGCCACCAACTTAATGTTCCTTGTACTCTAACCAACCGCCCCAACCCTTTCCCCACACCAGTCCCCCACTCGTAAGTTCATCTGGGAGGAGATGTCGTGCTTGAGCCGGTGGTGGGTGGACGCCAGTGGGGAGAGGGGGGAAAGGGAACTGATCTACCTCGTACTGGTATCCTAACCCCTGACCCTTGTCTCAACAGTCCCCCACTCGTAAGTTCATCTGGGAGGAAATGTAGTATTTGAGCCGGTGGTGGATGGACGCCAGTGGGGAGAGGGGGGAAAGGGAACTGATCTACCTCATACTTGTACCCTAACCCCTGACCCTTTTCTCAACAGTCCCCCACTCGTAAGTTCATCTGGGAGGAAATGTCGTATTTGAGCCGGTGGTGGATGGACGCCAGTGGGGAGAGGGGGGAAAGGGAACTGATCTACCTCATACTTGTACCCTAACCCCTGACCCTTTTCTCAACAGTCCCCCACTCGTAAGTTCATCTGGGAGGAGATGTCGTATTTGAGCCGGTGGTGGATGGACGCCAGCGAGGAGGAGAGGGAGGGGATGAGGGCGCTGGTGCGGTCAGGCCAGCTGGAGATCGTGGGGGGCGGGTGGGTCATGAACGACGAGGTGAGAGGGTGGATAGAGTGTGAGGCGAAAAGGGGGGGAGAGGGAGAGAAAGAGAGGGGTGGGTGATGAACGACGAGGTGAGAGGGTGGGATGGAGGGTCGGAGGAGATGGCGGGTGGGTCATGAGCGACGAGGTGAGTTTGGGAAAGGTTTTGGGAGGGGAGGAGAAGCTGAGTGATTTGGAAGGTGCGGAGCTAGATGGTGAGAGTGGGAGAGAGCTTGAGGGCGCTGGTGCGGTCAGGGCGGCTGGAGATCGTGGGGGGCGGGTGGGTGATGAACGACGAGGTGAGAGGGAGGATAGAGTGTGAGGCGAAAAGGGGGGGAGAGGGAGAGAAAGAGAGGGGTGGGTGATGAACGACGAGGTGAGAGGGTGGGATGGAGGGTCAGAGGAGATGGCGGGTGGGTCATGAGAGACGAGGTTATTTTGTGAAAGATGTTGGGAGGCGGGAAGCTGAGTGATTTGGATGGTGCGGAGCTAGATGGTGAGAATGGGAGAGAGAGCTTGAGGGCGCTGGGGCGGTCAGGGCAGCTGGAGATAGTGGGGGGCGGGTGGGTCATGAACGACAAGGTGAGTTTGGGAAAGGTGTTGGGAGGGGAGAAGCTGAGTGATTTGGAAGGTGCGGAGCTAGATGGTGAGAATGGGAGAGAGAGCTTGAGGTCATTGGTGCAGTTAGGGCGGCTGGAGATAGTGGGGGGGGGGGAGAGTGGCATGAACGGCGAGGTGAGACTTGAGCAATTGAGTGCTGGGGTTACAAACAGACGTGTTAGAGAAAGCAGTTGGGGGAATGGGGAGAGAGTGGAAGGGAGAGGGTTTCCTGTGTATTGAAGTGCTGAGAGGGTGAGGGCGCTTTCGGTTATTTATTTCTGTCACAACTTACTTTTACCTACCCGTTTTTGTTATTTCTTTCGTACTTAACGCTCCTCTTCTCCCCCCGCCCCCCCCCCCTCCACCTGGTGACTTCGCTTCTCTGCTTTGCTTGCAGGCCAATTCGCATTACTATGCGATCATAGAACAGGTGAGATGCATGCAAAAGTTGTGTGTAATGAGTCTGCTTTTGAGTGGACTCAAAAGCAATTCACATTACTATGGGATCATTGAACAGGCGAGAAACGTTGAGACAGGTGGGCCTAGTAGCATCCTTTGAATCGAACACAATAAGCACACTAAGCCTTTGCACACGAAGGCTTATTCCTGTGCCCACAGTACAAAAACACCCTTTGAACACAATAAGTCTGATTTAGCGTATTGTGCTTTATCACTCGTTACCATATCCGTGTTAGTACGGATACTTTTGCGTCAAATGCATTCTTTGCCAGTGTAGAAAAGTGCATTTACACAGAGGTTTCATTTCGTGGTCGGGTGATTTGAGCTTAAAAACAAATATTCCCCAGGAAATTTGCATAGCCCTCTCTCCCTCCCCCTCTACTGTCAGCTTACCGAGGGCAACACATGGCTGTATGACACATTGGGAGTGGTGCCCACCAACAGCTGGGCCGTTGATCCTGGAGGGTTTATGAAGAGCAGTAGAATCCCTCCCCCCCCCCCCCCTACCCCCCACCCCCCTTGTCAGCTTACCGAGGGCAACACGTGGCTGTATGACACATTGGGAGTGGCGCCCACCAACAGCTGGGCCATTGACCCCTTCGGTCATTCTGCCACCATGCCGTACCTGCTGCGGAGGTACGGGTTTCCATGGCTTTTTTATTGCGGTTCCGCTCCTGTTTCTCTGCTGCTGCTACTGCTGTTATGCGCTATTGTACCGCGCTGCTACTATCGTGTGCGCTGGTCGTTACGTTACAAGACGCTGTGTGTGGCGTGGCTGGCCTGACAGCATGTCTGCCTCTCCCTCCTTGTCCCCGTTCCTTTCAAGAAAAAAAACCTGTTACCCTGCCTCTCTGCCCCTGTGTTCATCCCCGTTATTGTCAGATCCGGGTTCTCCAACATGTTGATTCAGCGCACCCACTACGAGGTCAAGAAGGCCTTAGCGAAGCAGAAGCAACTAGAGTTCTTCTGGAGGCAGGCTTGGGACAAATCCGGAGGTAGGATGGCGGGTGGGTTGTCGCAAGAGAAGGGGGGGGCAGCAGCAGGAGTAGCAGCAGGAGCAGCGGCGGCAGCGGCGGCAACAGAAGGTTCCCGGAAAGAGGAACAGGAGGAGGACACAGGGGAGACTGGCAGTGAAGATAACCTAAATGCGCTGCTGAAGGGGGAAGGCGAGGGGGGGAGCACGGACATTGTGTGCCACATGATGCCCTTCTATTCGTACGACATCCCGCACACATGCGGACCCACTCCGGGCGTGTGCTGCCAGGTGAGTCGAGTCAAGACACGTGCAGGTGAGTCAAGACACGTGCTGCCAGGCGAGCCGCACAGGCACATGTGCCGTTGACAGTAGGGGTCATCTGTATGCATGCTCGTCGAATGGGAAGGGAGGAGGAAGGCAGGAGGGGAAGGCAGTGCCATTCTATTCGTGTGACATCCCCTGCCTACACATGTGGGCCCAATGCAGGTGTGTGCTGCCAGGTGAGCCACACAGGCAGTAGGGATCATGTGTATGTATGCTCCTCGAATGGGAGGGGAGGAGGGAGGCAGAAAGGGAAGGTAGCACGGACATTCTCTGCCACATGATGCCCTTCTAGCCATGTGACATCCCGCACACGTGTGGGTCCAATGCAGGCGTCTTTTGAGTCGGCTCAAAAGGTGACTTTGAAGTCAACTCAAAAGTCATTCTCTGCCACATGATGCTGTTCTAGCCATGTGACATCCCGCACACCTGACTGACATGCATGCCCCAGCTGGCTTAGGACCTATTCTCCTTCCTCCCTGCTGTGCCGTGGGTTTGCAGTTTGACTTTCTGCGCAAGTTAGGGACAAGCGTCTGGTGCCCATGGGGGCAAGATTCGATACCGATAACGAGGGACAACGTCGCACAGCGAGCGCAGCTGCTAGTGGATCAGGTGCGGTGGGAATGGGTGCGGTGCGGTGAAAATGGGTGTGGTGAAAATGGGTGAGGTGTGAATGGGTGCGGTGTCAATGGGTGAGGTGGGTTAGAAACAGCCCCTCTAGCCTGGCACAGGGAGCTGTAGCCCGTGGGGGCGAGACTTGATACCGATAACGAGGGAACAATATTGGTGAGTGAGCATACCTGCTGGTGGATCAGGTGGGGCTTTAAGGAATCCGGCGAGGCTGTGGGGCTTTGAGAAATCAGGTGGGGCTTTAAGGGACACCTGTACCGATGCACGGCGGATAAGTTACCCCATGAACAGCTGCTGGTGGACCAGGTGCGGAGGAAATGGGTGCGGTGGGAATGGGTCTGATGGGTTTATGGAATCATTTAGGGATTCGAGGGATCAGGGAATAGGAATGGGAATGGGAATGGGTGAGGCGGGAGAACTGAACCGTCTTGATTGCAAATGCGGCAACTGGAACCAGTGGAGCACCGGTGCCACTGGTACCACTGGTAGGTAGTAGATACGTACCTCACGAGTTGAGCTGGTCTTTGAGAAGTCTAAAAAACAGAATTCGAAAAACTCAAGGCAGCTGGAACTAGTGGCGAATTGGTATCATCTTGAGTGAATGCGTTTCATCGCCACAGCTTCCCCTTTTCCTGCGGCTCCCACATCCCCCAACCAGTGGCACAAGAAGTCCCTGCGCTTCTACTCCAACGTGCTTCTAGCCCCTCTGGGAGACAGCTTTCGCTTCTCCTCCATGCTCGAGGCCCACGCACAGTCTCCCTTGTGCTGCCCCCCTCCCCTCCTTTACCCTTCCCCCATGCAGTGACGCAAGAAGTCACTCCTCTTCCGCAGCAACGTCCTCCTGGTCCCTCTGGGCAACGACTTCCGCCACGCCTCCGTGCTCGAGGCCCACACTCAGTCTGACTCGTGCTGTTCCCCTCCCCTACCCCCAACCAGTGGCGCAAGAAGTCTCTGCTATTCAGAACCAACGTGCTGCTGGTCCCTCTGGGGGACGACTTCCGCTACTCGTCCATGCTCGAGGCCCACGACCAATTCCACAACTACGAGCTGCTCTTCCGCTTCATCAATTCAAGAAAGTCTCTTAAAGTCAACGCCAGCTTCGGCACCCTCGAGGACTATTTCGCTGCCATGCGCGCCGCCTCCTCCCGCCAGAGGGCAACGCAGAGAGCAAACCAGCTTCGCCTGAACCATTCTGGGATCCATTCAAGCGGGCTCGACTCGAAGGGGCTTCATTCCAGCGAGCTCAGATCAGCCGTTGGCTCTCACGGGCACCGGGACCAAAGCCAGGACCGGCTCTTAGCTGAGAGAAATGCTTACCAGAATGCTGATCCCGCGAGCCAGTTCCGGCCTCTGCTCCCGTCGTTATCGGGGGACTTTTTCACGTACGCGGATCGGGACCAGGACTACTGGAGCGGGTACTTCACCTCGCGGCCGTTCTGGAAGGCCGTGGATCGCGCGCTTGAGGCCAACCTCAGGGCGGCTGATATCCTCTACGCGCTGTGCTGGTCCGATCTAGGAAGTGCTCAACAGACCAAGGATTCGCCACGCAGTGACCTGCCGTTCCCCCTCAAGTGAGTCGAGCACAAGTGAGTCCGTCCGGTCCGGTGGAATTGTGGATTTTCAAAGGGCACTGGTCACAGTCACAGGGATGGCAACCCCCACACAACCCCCGTGAGCACCCTCTCCTCCCCTCCCCCCGTCCCCCCCCCTTCCTCCTCTCTCCTGCCAGTTTTGCAGAGCGGCTGGTGCTAGCGCGGCGCAACCTGGCGCTGTTTCAGCACCACGACGGCATCACCGGGACGGCGAAGGAGCATGTGGTGAAGGACTACAGCGTGAGGATGCACGAGGCGCTGACAGACCTCAATGTGAGTGGGTCAGCAAAGGACAACAGACGTCCATGCAAGCCATTGCAGATCAAAAGGTGTAAATGTGGCATCACAGGCACGGTGAAGGACCATGTGGTGAAGGACCATGTGGTGAAGGACTACAGCATGAGGATGCACGAGGCACTGACAGACCTCAACGTGAGTCAACGAGAGTCAACGAGAGTCAACACAGATCAAATGGTGTACATATGGCATCACAGGAACGGCAAAGGATCATGTGGTTAAGGACTAGAGCATGAGGATGCATGAGGCAGTGACAGACAGACTGACCTCAAAGGGAGACAATGCAAGGCAGTGCAAGCCAACAGGATTCGGCACCAGCCACAGGTGCCTTTCTTTTCCGCATCCCCCTCGCTCGCCTCTCTTCCTCCTGCCCTTTGCAGGACTTAATGAGTGCCGCAGTCGCTGCCCTTCTTCTCGAAGCTCCCAACCCTTCTGCACCAACCTCCGCTGCTCTCAACCCTTCTGCACCGACCTCCACCGCTCTCAACTCCACCATCCTCCCCCAGCAGCCCTCCTCACTTCAAGCAGAGCGGTGGAGATCGGTGCATGACGGTCCATGGGAGAGACGGGTAGTCGGGAGTGGGGTGGGGGGAGGTGGGGGAAAAGAGGGGCAGCTGGATGCGAGAAGAGTGGTGGTGTTCAACCCTTTGGAGGAAGAGAGGAGAGAGGTGAGTGGTTGTAGTAGTAGTGGCGGTCAGTGCATGATGGGTTGTGGGTGGTGGGTTGGGGAATGGGGTGACTGGGGTGCGTGAAAAGAGGGGAAGCTGGATGAAAGAAGAGTGGTGGTGTTCAATCAATCCTTTGGAGGAGGAGAGGAGAGATGGGTTTGGTTGTAGCGGTGGCAGTCAGTGCCTGATGGGTTATGGGTGAGAGGTAAACAGGTGGTGGGGAATGGGGTGGCTGGGGTTCAGGAAAAGAGGGGAATACGACTTGAATTTATGCTTCCATGATCCATCTATCCGTCACTTCCCTCACTTTCGTTTAGACGGTCTTGTCTTTCCGCTTCCCTCACTTTCGTTTAGACGGTCTTGTCTTTCCGCCACCCTCACTTTCGTTTCCCCTCTTTTTTCCCCTCTCCCCACACCCCCAGATAATATCAGTCCTCGTCAAATCCCCTTCCGTAGCAATTGTCGGGCAGGGCGGAAAATGTTTCCCTGGGCAGCTGCTGCCCGAGTGGTCGAAAGGCAACATGACCGTGACTCCTTCCTCCGGCCGGCACCGTCTTTTCTGGGAAGCTTCCGTCCCACCCTTGGGCCTTTCCACCTACTTTATAGTCCCCCAAGCTGCTGTGCCGGCCTGCCCTGCTCCTGCCCTGTCGTCCATATCTGTTTTCAACCCCCCTCCGGGGTTTGTGTGCCCGGTGCCATATGCGTGTGAGATGGTGGGAGGAGGGGAGGAGGGGAGTGGTGGAGGAGGAGAGAATGATGGTGGTGCTGCTGATGCTGCTGGTGCTGATGCTGCTGGTGCTGATGGTGCTGTTAGTGGTGGTAGCAAGTTCTCTATATCCAACGGCAACTTCCGAGTAGAATTTGGGCGAATGGATGGGCTCATCAAAGGCATCAAGGTGAGGCACTGGCATGATGACTGCATGCATGGCAGCATGCATGGGTCACTGCGTGCATGGGTCACTGCACAAAGTATGAGTCACAAAGTATGAGTCACAAAGTATGTGTCACAAAGTATGTGTCACAAAGTATGATTCACAAAGTATGTGTCACAAAGTATGTGTCACAAAGTATGAGTCATTATCCCATTAGCACTTTGCTCATGGCACTGCTGTCACAGGCACATGCGTGCAGTGCAGGCGCCCTGTGCAGGCATACCTGTGCGCTAGCTCGAAGAGGGCTCATCGCATTCCGCCACATGTGTCAGTAATTTCGTTTAAAGACGTCTCAAAGCAAAATTACTAACACAGTGCACTAGCTCAAAGAGCGCGCATCTCATTCCGCCGTGTGCCATCCCCTCCTCCCCATCCCCCCACCGCCTCCCTCCCGGCCTTGAGTGGACTCAATCAAAAGTCATCTCCTGACCTCTCCCTTTTGAGGCGCCTCAAAACTCGACTCAATCAAAGGTCATCTCCTGACCTCTCCCTTCCTCCCCCCAGCTGCCCCCCGTATGTGGGCCCCACAGCCTGTCAAACAGCAGTTCGCCATGTGTAATGAGTCCATTCTTGAGTCGACTAAAAAATAGACTCATTATACACGGATTATACACTGGGAGATTTTACTTCGTCGCATGGAAGGCCCCAGCTTGCTGCTTTTCTCCTCCCCAGCTGCCCCCCCATATGTCAGTAGCTCCCCCCACTACTTGTCAATCAGCAGCTCCAGCAGCTCCCCCCATTACCTGTCAGTCAGCAGTTCGCCCTCTTCGCCAGCTCAGGCGGGAGCCTATCACTTCCTGCCACATGGCTTACTTCACTCTCCAAACCCAGTCCCCTTTTCCCCTCTCCTCTTCCCCTCTCTTCCCCTCTCCTCTTCCCCTCTCCTCTTCCCCTCTCTTCCCCTCTCCTCTTCCCCTCTCTTCCCCTCTCCTCTTCCCCTCTCTTCCCCTTTCCTCTTCCCCTCTCCTCTTTCCCTCTCCTCTTCCCCTCTCCTCTTCCCGTCTCCTCTTCCTCCCCACCTTCCTTCTTCCCCCCAGCTCCCCGGTATGCCGGCCCCATTGCCTGTGAGAGAGCATTGCGCTCTCTACGCCAGCTGAGGGGGGCCCTACCCCTTCCGGCCACATATATTTCGCCTTTTACCCTCCCCGCCTACAATGTCTCTCCTCCCGACCCCCTCCCCCCAGCTCCCCCATATGCCGGCCCCACTGCCTGCCAGAGAGCAGTTTGCTCTCTACGCCAGCTCAGGGGGAAGCCTCTCTGTTTGTGCCACAATCCTTTCTTCCTTCACTCATTCCCCATCTCCTGTCCCCATCTCCTCTCCCCATCTCCTCTCCCCATCTCCCCTCCCCATCTCCTCTCCCCATCTCCTCTCCCCATCTCCTCTCCCCATCTCCCCTCCCCATCTCCTCTCCCCATCTCCTCTCCCCATCTCCTCTCCCCATCTCCCCTCCCCATCTCCTCTCCCCATCTCCTCTCCCCATCTCCTCTCCCCATCTCCTCTCCCCATCTCCTCTCCCCATCTCCTCTCCCCATCTCCTCTCCCCATCTCCTCTCCCCACCTCCTCTCCCCACCTCCTCTCCCCATCTTCTCCCCCTCCCCCCAGATCCCCCATATGCCAGCTCCACTGCCTGTCAGAGAGCAGTTTGCTCTCTACGCTAGCTCAGGGGGAGCCTATCTCTTTCTGCCACATGGCGCTGCCGTTCCTATAGTGAAGGAGCAGCAGAGAGGGGGGAGATTGAAGAAGGAGAAGGAGGGGAGTGTGTCTGGGAGAGGTAAGGGGGACAAGGGGGAGGGTGCGCATGAGAGGGTTAAGGGGGAGGATGGAGGGTCTACTTCGTTAGTGTGCAGAGGACCGCTTGTGGAGGAGGTGCATACACGGTTCAGATTCACTTATCCGAACGATTGGACGGCTGAGATGCAAGCTGATGCTGTTGACCCCTTGGGGGAGGGGGAGGGGGAGGAGGGGAGTGAGGTTAGTGGTGGTTGGCTGGTGGACGAGAAAGCTGCCTCTGCTACAGCAAGGAAGCTGCTGGTTAGTGATAGTGAGGGAGACAATAACGAGGATGAGAGGATCACCCGTAAAAGTGAGAGTAGCGAAAGTGAGGCTAGTGAGGAGAGGGATCTGACGCTGCTAGACGCAGGCCGGTTTGAAGGGAGGGAGAATGGGTCTGGTGGGGTGCTGTTCGGTGCAGAGCAGCAAGCAGCGCTTGAAAGGGTGCTGGAGAGACAGGAGAGAGAGCTGAAGGAGAGCGAACAGGGAGAGGAGGGGGGAGAGGGTTTCGGGTTTAATGTGGGAGAAGGAGAGGGGAGAAGGGAGAGGGCAGCAGAGCTGCAGGGAGGGCGTGAGGGAGCAAGTGAGGCAGTGAGTGAGGGAGCGAGTGAGGGAGTGAGTGAGGGAGCGAGTGAAGGAGTGAGTGAGGAAGCGAGTGAGGGAGTGAGTGAGGAGGAGTTGGACATATTGCATCCGCGGCACTTTGAAGGGAAAGAAGCACCGGGAGGGGTAGTGTGGCTGACTGGCGAGCAGCAGCGGGTGTTTGGCAAGTGGCTGGAGCAGACACAACCAGAGGAGAGTAGCATTGAGGGAGCGAGTGAGGGGGTGAGTGAGGGGGCGAGTAAGAGGGCGAGTGAGAGGGCGAGTGAGGGAGTGAGTGAGGGAGCGAGTGAGGAAGCAAGTGAGGGAGCAAGTGAGAGAGCAAGTGAGGGAGCAAGTGAGGGAGTAAGCGAGGGAGCAAACAAGGGAGTGAGTGAGGAGGAGTTGGACATATTGCATCCGCGGCACTTTGAGGGGAAGGAAGCACCGGGAGGGGTGGTGTGGTTGACTGGCGAGCAGCAGCGGGTGTTTGGCAAGTGGCTGGAGCAGACACAGCCAGAGGAGAGTAGTAGTGAGGGAGCGAGTGAGGGGGTGAGTGAGGGGGCGAGTGAGAGGGCGAGTGAGGGAGTGAGTGAGGGAGTGAGTGAGGGAGCGAGTGAGGGAACAAGTGAGGGAGCAAGTGAGAGAGCAAGTGAGGGAGCAAGTGAGGGAGTAAGCGAGGGAGCAAACAAGGGAGTGAGTGAGGAGGAATTGGACATATTGCATCCGCGGCACTTTGAGGGGAAGGAAGCACCGGGAGGGGTGGTGTGGTTGACTGGCGAGCAGCAGCGGGTGTTTGGCAAGTGGCTGGAGCAGACACAGCCAGAGGAGAGTAGCAGTGAGGGAGTGAGTGAGGGGGCGAGTGAGGGGGCGAGTGAGAGGGCGAGTGAGGGAGTGAGTGAGGGAGCGAGTGAGGAAGCAAGTGAGGGAGCAAGTGAGAGAGCAAGTGAGGGAGCAAGTGAGGGAGTCAGCGAGGGAGCAAACAAGGGAGTGAGTGAGGAGGAGTTGGACATATTGCATCCGCGGCACTTTGAGGGGAAGGAAGCACCGGGAGGGGTGGTGTGGTTGACTGGCGAGCAGCAGCGGGTGTTTGGCAAATGGCTGGAGCAGACACAGCCAGCGAAGGAGGAGGGGACTGAGGGTGTGGAGGCCGGGGCACAAGGGAAGCAGGGTAGAATACAGGGGGATGAAGACGCCAGGAATGGTAGTGTTGCAGTGCTGGATGTTGCACCACCGCACCTTGCAGCACCGCACCTTGCAGCAGCGCACCTAGAGGCGGTAGGGGAAGCAGCGGCTCGTGTAGATATGGCTCCAGCAGATACGGCTCGGGCAGATGGGGCTCGGGCAGATGCGGAGAGGCAGCGGGCGGAGCGGCAGGCGAAGCGGAAGGAGTGGATCAGAGAGGTGCAGCGGAGGCGGGAGGAGGGGAGGAAGCGGAAGAAGGGGAGGCCCACCTGGCTGGACGACGACTTCAGCTACAACCTGCTCTCACCTGCTGATGCTGCATCGACGGACGGCCTGGACGAGTGGTTCGGAGGGAACGAGCAAGCGACAGGGGAGGAAGAGGGACTAGGGAAGAGGGGGGAAGCGGTGGGGACGAGTTGGGTTGAAAATGTGGCGAAGGAGAGGCGGGAGTGGATTGAGGCGAGGAGGAGGCAGAGAGGAAGTGGTGGTGCTGGTGGTGGTGGTGGTGTTGGTGGTGGTGACAAAGGGGAGGGTAAAGCAAGGCAAGAGAGGATCACGAGGAGGAGAAGGGATGAGGAGGAGGAGGAGGAGGAGGATGGAGAGGACGATTCTCAGTCGGCTGTTCAGCATCAGAGCAAGGGCCCACCAGAGCCAGTGGTGCGCACAGTGACTCTCTACAAGGTGCAGTCGGTGCAGGCGCTGCTGGTGGAGGTGCAGCACCGCGTGGACCTCACAAACAAGATGTGGCTCGGCAACAAGGAGCTCGTGGTCCGGTACCGAACCGGAATCAGGTGCGGCGTTGCCTTAGTCGGGAATTGTATGTCACACTCTTTACTTAGCTGCAGTGTATAGAGCCACAGTATGTAGAGCCACAGTGTATAGAGCCACAGTGTATAGAGCCACAGTGTATAGAGGCACAGTGTTTAGAGAGACAGTGTATAGAGGCACAGTATATAGAACCATAGTGTATAGAGCCACAGTGTAAAGGGCCACAGTGCATAGAGCCGCACTGTATAGAGCAAGGACCCACCGGAGCTCAGTGACTCTCTACAGAGTGCAGTCGGCGCAGGTGCTGCTGGTGGCGATGCAGCACGGGTTGGACCTAACCAACAGTGTGGCTCGGAAACACGGAGCTTGTGGTTCGGTACCGAACCGGAATCAGGTAGTACATTGTCTTTGGTTGGCTGTCGAATATGACACCGAAATTCTCCAGACCCTGCACTGTCTTCTCAAGTCATTCTGCTGAAGAAGACGTGTTATTAGAATGCTAAAAGAATCAACTTACCTGAACGTATGTTAAGTTTTTTAGAATTCTAGAAAATACAGCACACTCCAGACCAGACCCTGCACTGTCTTCTTCTCAAGTCATTCTACTGAAGATCGATCCAGTCACCCTGTTACCCCCCCTCTCCTCTTTCTCCACCTCCTCTCTCTTCCTTTTAGGGCTCTTTACTTCCCTCCTCCCCCTCACTCCCTCCCCTCAGAACCCTCCATTCTCCCAATCATCCCCTTAGCCTCCCCCCTAGCTCCCAACTCAGATCGAACACTTGCGCGCTCAATAATTTCTGCCTGCAACTAGCGGTAACGGACGTAGCGGTAACGGACGTAGCGGTAACGGACGTAGTGGTAACGGACGTAGCGGTAACGGACGTAGCGGTATCAGTCCTAGCGGTATTGGACTTCTGTTCTGAAAAAGAACGGAGCACCTTCTACACCATCCCTGCTCGCCCGTTAACCTCCACCCCTCGAATGTGTCCTTTGTGGTTTCTCATTTTCAGGTCTGGCAACGCCTTTTTCGCTGACCCCCCTCCCTCGAATGCGTCCTTTGTGCTTTCCCATTTGCCCATTTCCAGGTCCGGCAACATCTTTTTCACTGACCTGAACGGTTTCCAGACCATCAGAAGGGAGACCCTCTCTCACGCGTTCCTACTCAGGGCAACTTCTACCCCATGCCCGCCCTCGCCTTCCTGCAATCACTTGCCTCACCCCACTTCTCTCCGCTCTCCCTCCCCCATTCGCAGTTCCAGCAACGCCTTTTCCACTGACCTGAACGAGACCACTTCTGAGGCGCCTCAAAATACCTCCCCCCCTCGAAATACATGCCTGCACTGCACTCAACCTTGTGCAATCACTTGCCTCATCCCCTCTTCCCTCCCGCTCTCCCTCCCCCATTTTCAGGTCCGGCAACGTTTTTTTCACTGACTTGAATGGATTCCAGACCATCCGAAGGGAAACCCTCTCGCGCGTTCCCATCCAGGGCAACTTCTACCCCATGCCCGCCCTCGCCTTCCTGCAAGACCCCTCTGGCCTTCGCTTCTCCGTGCACACACGCCAGGCGGTGGGGGCTGCCAGTTTAACGGTGAGCTCTTACTCGCGCTCCTCTCTGCGCAGCACCTTCTACCCCATGCCTGCTCTCGCCTTCCTGCAAGCCCCATCTGGCCTTCGATTCTCCGTGCACAGACGCCAGGCAGTGGGCGCTGCCAGCCTCAAGGTCAGTGGAACCAGCTAGTATAAAGGTGAGTGGTAGGATAGGAACATCAGTAAGTCTTCACTCCCCTTTCTGCAACGGGCACACAGAGTTGCCACTGCCATGCTATGCTGGCTCAATGCTAGCTCAATGCTCAGTTGGAACTTGGTTTCACAGAATGTAAATTTACTGTAGAAAACGATGTCCGATACGGCTTGCAATTGTAGACGTACGACCTAAGATTCAATGCACAGAGACTGCAGTACTGACTTCTGGTCTGTTGGCGTATCATTCTTCTATGCTCAGTGGCTTCGTTCCTCACGTCTATGCCCCTCCTTTCCTCCAGAGTGGCTGGCTCGAGATGGTGTTGGACAGACGCCTAAACCAGGACGATGGCAGGGGCCTCACGTAAGGAGTGGCTAACAACGGTCCCCTGCACTCGCTTCTTATTTCCGCCCTCATCCTCCCCTCCTTCTTTCCCCCAGAGTGGCTGGCTCGAGATGGTGTTGGATAGACGCCTAAACCAGGACGATGGCAGGGGCCTCACGTAAGGAGTGGCTAACAACGGTCCCCTGCACTCGCTTCTTATTTCCGCCCTCATCCTCCCCTCCTTCCTTCCCCCAGAGTGGCTGGCTCGAGATGGTGTTGGATAGACGCCTAAACCAGGACGATGGCAGGGGCCTCACGTAAGGAGTGGCTAACAACGGTCCCCTGCACTCGCTTCTTATTTCCGCCCTCATCCTCCCCTCCTTCTTTCCCCCAGAGTGGCTGGCTCGAGATGGTGTTGGATAGACGCCTAAACCAGGACGATGGCAGGGGCCTCACGTAAGGAGTGGCTAACAACGGTCCCCTGCACTCGCTTCTGATTTCTGCCCTCATCCTCCCCTCCTTCTTTCCCCCAGAGTGGCTGGCTCGAGATGGTGCTGGACAGACGCCTAAACCAGGACGATGGCAGGGGCCTCACCCAGGGAGTAACTGACAACCGGCCGCTGCTCTCCCTCTTCCACCTCCTCCTAGAGGCCAACACCTCCTCCCGCCCTGCCCCCTCCCCCTCCTCCTCCGCGCCTCTCAACCCCTCCCTCCTCTCCCACCGCATCTCCTCCCACCTCAACTACCAGCCCCTTCTTTTCATCGGGCAGCCCGAAAATTCCTCGGCTCTGAGTGAACTGGTGGTGCAGGGAGGCTCGGGCAGAGAAACGAAGGCTGGTAGTCAGGGGGGGAAGGTTCGGGAGGAGGGGAGAGGAGGTGGGAGGTGGGAGAAGCAGCAGGGGCGGAAGGCAGGTCCGGGAAAAGCCTTGGCAGAAGGCTCGGCAGGAGGTTTGGCGGGAGGTTCGGCAGTAGGTTCGGAGGAGGGAAGGGCGACGTTGGGGGGATGGGAGTGGGGCTACGCTCCCTTGTCTGGTCCTCTGCCTTGCGACATGCACATTGTGTCGCTCAAAGTGCACCGCCCTCTGCCTAATGCCTCGGTGAGTGAGCTCAGAATTGCATTGCCCAAAACCTTGGTTGGTGATTAGTAGGTGACTGGTTCTTGGACGTTTGTAACATCTCAGTCCTCAATGCGCCGAAGATCATGGCTTTGTTAGTCCGCAACCCGACACCTGGCACTACACGGATGGCTGCTGCCCACTTGCTTTGCATTGCTTGCTTGCTTTCATTTCTGGCTGGCATGCTTGATTGCTTGCTGCCTCGCAGAAAGAAAGCCATATTCTGGGTTTGACTCGTGATATACCCTCTCCCCTCTTACCTTGTGGAGGTCCCCCTAAGTCCCTGACACACTCCCACGCACTTTCCCCCGAATACCACCATCACCACCCAGGCCTCTTCCGAACCCCCCATTGCCCTCCTGCTTCACCGACGTGGTGTTGACCGCAGCTTTGCTCCTCCTCCCCAGCTGCGCCATTCGTGCCGCCCCACGCCTGCTTCTGGCGCCGTGTCTCTAGAGCAACTGTTTTCCGACAGGTCGGTGGAGGGGGTGCAGGAGTTTCCCTTGAATCTAGTTCGGAAGAACGCCAGCAGTTTGCATGGGCATGAAAGTGGCGCTGGATTGGGAAAGAGGCGAAGTGCCAATGTGAGTGAGTATATTGGGCCTATGGAAATAAAGGCGTTCAAATTCTGGCTAAGGAGCCACCACCGGGATTCGTAAGCTCCTGTGTCATAAAAATGGATGCGTGTCCTATAAGTAGACTTTTGTGACTTCTTTTTCTCAAAGGGCTTCAGATTGGTTTTGGTTGGACAAGGTTGATAAGTGTCATTTGGCATGTTTTTGCATTTTCCTATGAGGAAGTGACATGAATGTGTAGATAGTACGGAGTTTGAAGGTGGTAGTGTACCGCTGATATGGGTCGATTCGCCTCCTATTGGATCCCCATACCTTGGTTCAACTTGCCGCTGCCAATACCCGTGTTCGTCGCCACCAATGAGAGTTCCTGAACCGCATCGAGGTGGCGTTCTGTGTCGTCGTGTCGTGAGATCTACCATGTTCGCACAATTCTCAACAACTCGCTTCCTTGCGATGCGATGCATGCGATAGTACCTGGCGACGACAATGTGACAGGCTCCTAGATCATCCGGCTTCCCCTCTCCACCACGCACGCAACCTCAAGATCTTCCCTCCCCCCCACCCCTTGCGCATATGTTTCTCTCTCAATAACCTACCCAACCGTCCTAAACCGTTGTTTCGACTCTTGGAAACAGAGAGAAACTCATTCAACCGCAATCAAACGTACGCGCAGGACACGCCCAAGGCATGCCCTCACCTAATTCAAACCTAGGGTTTGCCATTCTACACCAAGACAGGCTTTATCTGTCAAGGATCTAGTTGTAGCAGCTTTATTTCAGTGTCTTGGTTCTCTTCTGCCCAGGACTCAGCTCCTATCTGCCTCCGCAATTCTCTTGTTCCATCCTAGCCACGTCTCCACATACTTTCTTCGAGAACCCGCCGTTCCCTATCCTTTATCGTGGTTTCCGTCTCCTCCAGCAGCTTCCTTCAAACCTTTTTCTGCTTCTAGCCTATCCTTATCCGTCCCTGCAACCATGAGCCACTACGACAACAGATACGGGGATTCATCCTCATACAGAGACCGAAAGAGGTAACTTCATGCCAGAACCTCGTATTCGTAATTAACTTCCGTCCCTCCTCGTTTTTTTTTTTTTTGGTTTTAATCACGATCATCCGCGTTCGTTTTCGTTCATTCAAAACATGCCTCGCGGTGGCGTGTTCATCTCCTGGTAATCGCAGCGACTTCGGCGGGGGATATGGCGGCGGCTCTTCCAGCTACCGCTCCGGCGGAGGCGGAGGCGGGTACGGCGGAGGTGGCGGTTACGGCGGAGGCGGAGGCGGCGGGTTCCGCGGCGGCGGGAACAAGCGCGACCTCGATGCAATCACACTCGCTCCACAATCCTTCGACAACCTCGCGCATTTCGAGAAGAACTTCTACGTCGAGCACCCGGCAGTGACCGCCATGTCGGAGGGCGAGGTGGACGAGTACCGTCGCCGGCGGCAGATCTCCGTGGAGGGCCGCGGGGTCCCGAAGCCGTGCCGCACGTTTGAAGAGGCTTCGTTTCCCGATTACGTGCTTGTGGAGGTCCAGCGCGCGGGGTTCAGCGAGCCCACACCGATCCAGGCGCAGGGGTGGCCCATGGCGCTCAAGGGGCGGGATTTGATCGGGTTGGCGGAGACGGGGTCTGGAAAGACCTTGGCTTACCTTCTTCCTGCTATCGTTCACGTTAATGCTCAGCCTTACCTGGGTACGTTTTTTAGAAGTCTAAAAAAATTGCAGGGTGTTTTTTAGCATTCTCAAAAACACCTTGGCTTACCTCCTTCCTGCTATCGTTCACGTTCATGCTCAGCCTTATCTGGGTACGCCTCTCAAATTCCCTTCAAATTCCCCTTGTCTCTTTTTAGGGTTTCCCGTCCCCCTAGCTCAGCACCTTCCAGGTTTTTCCCCCTTCGCGTCCGTTTCCGTTTGTGAAGTATCAGTCTCATGTAATATCCGTAACTACCTGTCACAACGCGCCGCTTATGCGTCCAGCCTTTTTCTTCGGGGACGGCCCGATTGTGCTGGTGATCGCGCCGCCGCGAGAGCTGGCGGGGCAGATTCAGGAGGAGTGCACCAAGTGCGGAGCGTCGTGAGAGTTGCCCCAACCTCATTCTGCCCTTCTTCGTCTTTTGGCTCGTCTCGTCCAACCCTTATCCTCGCCACTGCAGCACCCGGGGACGGCCCGATCGTGCTGGTGATCGCGCCGACGCGAGAGCTGGCGGTGCAGATCCAGGAGGAGTGCACCAAGTTCGGAGCGTCCTCTAAGATCAAGAGCACCTGCGTCTATGGCGGCGCGCCCAAAGGCCCGCAAATACGCGACTTGAATCAAGGTACGTGCGCCGGGGTTTGTCAGGAAGGTAAGTGCGTTGGGGTTTGCCACGTGTGCGCAGCAGATTTAAGAGGAGTGCCACCAACTTTGGCGCATCGTCTAATATCAAGAGCTTAGTCACCTGCGTCTATGGTGGCGCGCCTAAAGGCGCGCGACTACGGGGCCTGAATCAAGGTGGGTTTCCATTTCCGTCTTCATTCTTCTTGTTTCGCTTCCCTTGCATTTTCTTGCTCCCTTTTTCGCCTCGTTTCTCTTGCGTCTCTTCCGCTTCAATCCGTCGAAATGCGTCCGCGCCCTCTCCTCTCATCCCTCACTGCCAGGCGTGGAGATCGTGATCGCGACGCCCGGGCGATTGATCGACATGCTAGAGTCGCGGATTACCAACCTTCGCCGCGTTACGTACCTCGTGCTGGACGAGGCGGATCGCATGCTCGACATGGGCTTCGAACCCCAGATCAGAAAGATTGTTTCTCAGGTACGCAATGTAACGAAACAGGGTTACCAACCTTCGCCAGGTTGCATGCTTCTTGCTGGACGAGGCTGATCGCATGCTCGACATGGGCTTCGAGCCTCAGATCAGAAAGACTGTCTCGCAGGTACGTGTGTAACATAACCGGCGGGTTACCAACCGTTGCTGGGTTTCGCATGCTTGACAAGGCATTTTAGCCTCAGATCTACGAGATCGTTTTTCTCAGGCAAGCATTCGATTGGACACAAACAGGATCCCCTGCGCCTCCCGCCCCCCACCCTGCTTTTGAGGCGCCTCAAAAGATCGCCTCTCAGGCAAGCGTTCAATTCGACACGAGCCAAATCCCCTGCATCTCCCGTCCCCCACCCTTCCCTCCCCGCGCTTCCTTTCCGCGCCGCTGCGCCCCGATCCCTCGCCCCTTATGCTATTCCGTTCCCCCTACTTCTGTCTCCCCTCGCCTCTCCCTCCACTTCCCGCGCTGTTTGCCATCCCTTTCAGATTCGCCCCGATCGCCAGACGCTCTACTGGAGTGCCACGTGGCCCAGAGAGGTGGAAACGCTTGCCAGACAATTCCTTGTTGACGCGTACAAGGTGAGATGATCCGTACCAGGTGAGATGATCCGTACCAGGTGAGATGATCCGTACTAGGTGAGATGATCCATATAAGGTGAGATGATCCGTACAAGGTGGGATGATCCGTACAAGGTGGGATGATCCGTACAAGGTGAGATGATCCGTACAAGGTGAGATGATCCGTACAAGGTGAGATGATCCGTACAAGGTGAGATGATCCGTACACGGTGAGATGATCCGTACAAGGTGAGGTGATCCGTACGAGCACTTTGAGCTGTTCCAGGTGCGAGTTGATCTGCAATTGAGCGTAAGGTACATTGGTAGACGGTCAGTCGCACGATTTAAGGCATTTGAGTCATTCAAAAGTGGGTTTCGTGGCTGCACGCTATTTTGTTTTCTTTTCACTAACCCCTCTGGAAAAGAAAAGAAAAAGAACGTTCTTTTGCCGGCTTCGTTTCTCTGCGTCTGTGTGGCAGGTTGTGATTGGCTCTACGGACCTGAAGGCGAACCACTCCATTACGCAGGTGGTGGAGATTATGAGCGATCACGAGAAGTACCCTCGGTGCGTAATGTAACGGGTGTTACAAAATATACAGTTACCCACTGGGTGGTGGTGAGCCAGAGCTAAGTTCGACGGCACTCCCTTTTTCCCTTGCATTTTTTTTTTCTTTCAAAGGACTTCAACTCTCACTCGTATCCTCATCTTCTTTTCGATTCCACTTGTAATCAAACTCCTGGAGCAGGTGATGCACAGCGCCGTTACTCATTTCCTTTCCTTTGTCTCCCTCTCAACCTCCACAGATTACTCAAGCTCCTAGAGCAAGTGATGGACGGCAGCAAGATCCTGGTCTTTATGGACACCAAGCGCACGTGCGACCAGGTGACGCGGCAGCTGCGCATGGACGGGTGGCCCGCGCTGTCGATCCACGGCGACAAGAGCCAGGCGGAGCGCGACTGGGTGCTGTCGGAGTTCAAAACGGGCAAGAACCCCATCATGATCGCCACCGACGTCGCTGCCCGCGGGCTAGGTATCACACAAGGGGGGCTTTAGGGTTTTCGATTTTGAGGGTTCAGGGCTATGGTGTCTGCATGCATGGGTTAACGGACAAGAACCCCATCATGATCGCCACCGACGTCTCTGCCCGGGGGTTAGGTATCGTCGGAGGGAGGGGGCGGGGTACAGGGGTTAGGTGTAGGCCATACATGGGTTCGGTTAGGGATGGGGTTTAAGGGTTAAGGTGTAGGCCATACATGGGTTCACGAGCACCAAGAACCCCATCATGATCGCCACCGACGTCGCTGCCCGGGGGCTAGGTATCATCACTGACAGGGGTTCGGGTGTAAGGGTTTAAGGCATAGGCCATACACGGGTTCACGAGCGCTCAGAACCTCATCATGATCACCACTGACGTCGCCGCCAGGGGGGCCAGGTATCCTTCCTTCCGGGGGTGAGGTTTAGGGATTAGGGTTGTGGTGCGGTGCGAGACATTGATGGAAGAGAGTGGCAAGTCCCACTATGACTTGAGTAGTTCGCCTGGTTACATGAGGCACGTGAACGGTGAGACTATGGCTAGAGGCTGCAGCTGATGTCAAAGGGTTTAGGTATCGCGTGTGTGTACACTGTGTTTTGAAGCTCCCCTTCTTATCCCTTGTCTTGTGTTTCTTTCCGTGCGGTGTGTGCAGCCCTGGGCCTGGTCGATGCCCGCTGCCTGTCCACCGCCTCTCGTCTCCCGCCTCTTCACAATGCTCCAGCCACTTCCGCCATTTCCGCCATTTGAGCCACGTCAGCTGCACTCAGCAGCAGCTCTGCCTGCTGGCCATGTGCCAGCTAGCTGCCTTTTGATGGCTCTGGTGCTGCTGGTGCATGATGATGGCACATGGCACATGGTGCATGGCAGCATGGGTGGCACACCCT